GTGCATTCGGAGAGGGGAGGCCGAGCGAATGTTATCAGAATCGGAAATTTATAAGGGCAACTATCAAGGCTTTCAGGCATCCAAATCATGCCACTGATGAGGAATGCATGTATGCGAGTGACAAGGGTTCTAAGGACAAATAGATGACTTGGGATTTGTAGATATACAAAGGCATGCTATCGTAGCGGTCCTATAGCCTGTAGATGCCGAGTATGCCATCGTATCATTAATTCTAACTGACACACGCTGTGAGGACCATTTCACGAAAAGGGAGGTACTGCTATACGTTGGTTGCTTAACTCGCTGCTTTGATAAAGATACTGCTTCGGGTACCGGCATCTGTACTTTCGCCGGGTGGTCCGGTCTCCTAACCACGTCAGTACCTCAGTCCAAGTACTGCGTCTTCTTTCGACTTCGGCAAAGTCTCGCGGCGCCACAATGCAACCCGCAAGACACCGAACGGCTCGAGTAGATGATTGTAGAATGTACTTTGTGATTGTCTGCCCCTTTGCATTTACCCTGTTTTGCACATAGGACTTCACGTGGAAATCAATGAATGTTGATTTCTTGACCCTCACCTACTAGGTGAATTTTGTCAAATGAGCCTCGCGAATGGGAGATATCTCCTCCGACTTGTTTAAGATGCCAGCCAGGTATAAAGCGTGCAGATGAGTGAAGCACTCACTCACTGTCAGCTCACTTTCATCGTAAATCAAAGCGTAGCCATTGTTTGCATCCACTTGACACTCCCCTGAAGGCAGAAGCGCATGCATTCATGCTAGTGCACTGCTGACTATGCTCACAGCACATTCCCACCACCACCATAACCACAGTCATCACGCACTTCCATCATCCATTTTCCGCACTTATTTCATCCCTCCCTCCCTCCCTCCCTACCCAACTTCGTCCCTCGTGCCTCATTTTCCTATGCCTTCTGCTGCACCTTTCCCACCACCTTCTTCGTCTTCTTCTTATTTAGTGCCTGTTAACTGCCCAACCGAAATCGGATGACCATACTGAAGGTGTACCTCTGTTGACATTACCAACACCACACCCGTCTACTTCTTGTGGCGCCATGCTTATGTGCAACCGAGTGGAATGACATGGTATGCAGTAGCTTTGACAGGTAGTGGCACACAGTGAAATGCAACCATAGGGTGGTCGTGAATGTGTCCACCCTGTGACTCACACGCTGCATGATATGCTTATTCGCACAGTCGGTCGGTCGGTCGATCGGTCGGTCAGTTAGTCGGACTTAATAGGTGGTTTTACCAATTCGTATGGGAAAAGAGTGATGTGGGTTCCAGGTGAGCAGTAAAAGAGAGTAAAACACAAAATGTATGGAGAGATGTACGGCTGTATGCGTATTTTCTTCGGCTCGTGCGTGCGTATGTGAATGTGCATTGTATCGGAGTGTGCGGAAGGCAATCCTTCGGAACAAAAAGAGGCGAGATGAGATGAGACGAGAGGATGGTGGATTGATTGCCTGCTCCGTCTTTCATTCTAAATCAGCACATCCTCTCTTAGACGAAATGCTTCAAAGTGAATAATGGGAGGTGTTATGTAACTCATTTACCAATCCGTTTGGATTGAATGAAGTAGGTACCGAATGGTGACCGCCGTCATTGGTCTTAGGCACATCCAGCTTTCCGCAACGTATGCCATCATTCTGAAAAGCGTTGCTTGTTTACAAGGCGTAGGATTGACCACACTGATTTGCCTTAACAACTGTGCCTCTGATGTGATTATTGTGCCATGAGGCCTGAAAGGCTTCACCTAGTTTTTTAATTTTCGATAATTTCGCTAGAATCGTTGGACGAAATTAGCACTAATGAATCCATTAAGCGATCGGAGGATTCAATTTATGAATTTCAATGTCCTTCTAGCTTAACTTATCTCCTTTATGCAGTCTACCTATCCCCCGAACCTTTAACCACTGACTTGAATTGCTTTACACTAACACCCACTGGATCACCATCATGTTCGCAATTAATGGGTCTGCAGTCCTTCGTCACACCATGACTGTTGTAAATTGCTCTTACTCATGACACCTCGGCACCACCCATTACATCGCATGCCTTCTTTCATATACGACATGTCACACAGGAGCCTGTTGCATCATTAATTTGTCCGTGCGCACTGTGTATACACTCGCATGTAT